GCTGGGATGTGGAAGTTTCTTTGGCCACAGTTTCTTCTGTCAAGTGTCGTGGCTTCACTGTCAAGAGTAGGCCTCGTTTCTACAAAGTAACTTTGCCTCAGTCTGAGGGAAACTTTAACCCTCTCTGAGGCGATTTTTCTCATTGTAGCAAGGCCTAGCTTTCACAACACACCAATTTATACATTTTATAACATGTTTCAGGCAACTTTTACCTCAGGATTTTTAAGTTCCCCACAACAATGTGACAAAAATAACCGTCTCTGGACATATCTTGCCAAGAAACCCCCATTAAAAGTTTGCCTTAAGACTAGGCCTCATTTCTACAACAAATTAGCCTCAGTCTGGGGGAAACTTTAACCCTCTCTGAGGTGATTTTCTCATTGTAGCAAGGCCTAGCTTTCACAACTCACTTATTTATACATTTTATATCATGTTTCAGGCAAATTTTACCTCAGGATTTTTAAGTTCCCCACAACAATGTGACAAAAATAAACATAGCCAAGGTTCAAGCCCACAAATGAAGTATAAACAATGATATAAAGAATAAAAAAATGGGTAAGGGGCAGAAAGAAATCCAAAGTGGTGGTGACAAAAGGCTAACCAAGTGAAGTATAACAGAAGGGAGGTAGAGTCAAGGAAACCTGACTTCAAATTTAAGTCATATCAGGAAAATATTGGCCACTAGCTGACATCTTAGCCTTCTCTGGACATATCTTGCCAAGAAACCCCTATTAAAAGTTTGCCTTAAGACTAGGCCTCATTTCTACAACAAATTAGCCTCAGTCTGAGGGAAACTTTAAACCTCTGAGGGGATTTTTATCATTGCAGCAAGGCCTAGCTTTCACAACTCACTTATTTATACATTTTATATCACGTTTCAGGCAACTTTTACCTCAGGATTTTTATGTTCTCCACAGTAATGTGACAGAAATAAAAAAAGCCAAGGTTCAAACCCCCAAATGAAGTATATATAGAATAAAAGAGGGAATGGGGCAGAAAGAAAGCCAAGGAGGTATATTGCCTCAGAGTGTGATGGAGTCTTCTTCTTTGGAGGCTTTTAAACAGAGGCTGGATGGCCATCTTTCAGAAGTGCTTTGGTTCTGTGTATTCCTGCATGGCAGAAGAAGGGGGCTGGACTGGATGACCTTTGGGTTCTCTTCCAAGTCTATGATTCTATAAGTATGAGCTTTTATAGACTTAAGTCTGCTTCCAAATGCATCTGAGGAGGTAGGCTTTAGTCTAGGAAAGCGCATGCTGCCATCTTCTTTCTTTCAGTTAGTCTCAAAGGGGCTAAAATCTCTGTCTACATACTTATATTTTGTTGTTGTTGTTGTGTACCTTCAAGTCATTTCTGACTTATGGCGATCCTAAGGCGGTGAACCTATCACAGGGTTTTCTTGGCAAGTTTCTCCAGAGGGGGCTTGCAATAGCCATCCTCTGAGGCTGAGAGTGTGTGACTTGGCCAAGGTCCCCCAGTGGGTTTCCATGGCAGAGCCGAGATTCGAACCCTGGTCTGCAGAATCATAGCCTGACATTAAAACCACAACATCACACTGTCTTGATACTTATCCAAATCCATGTATATATATGTGTGTGTGTATTCTTCTTCTTCTTATTATTATTATTATAGTGTGTGTGTAGTGTGCTGCTTTATTGGCTACTGTCTTTCATTGTTTTGATGGGTTAGGTTTGAAAGGTTTATTTTTTTAAATTTTTAATCAAACGGTCACACTACTATATCCATAACAGATAATACATACACTTATATGGCTTAGGTTTGAAAGGTTTAGATCAGGGGTAGGCAACCTTTTTTCCCCTTTAAGGGCCAAAGAGGGACTTCAGCTCCCAGAAGCCTCAGCCATGTTGGCCAATAGCTCCTGGGATTCTGGGAGATGAAGTCCCTCGGCCCTTAAAGGGGAAAGGTTGCCTACCCCTGGTTTAGATTTTATGGCTAGTTGCAGTGTAACTCTTTTCCTGTCTCCCTCCTTTTCCTCAGCTGCATTGCACTGTGCCTGCCTATGACTGTCCAGCCTCTGCTTTGGCCATCCACCCAGTGACCAACAACCTGGTCATCGCCCATTCAGACCAGCAGGTAAGGGGAGGACAATGTCTGAAGGCCCAAGGGCTATTTTTGTTCCCCGCTGGACCTAGGTGGGCCATGGCTACTTCCAGCCCTCATCACCCTGGTGGGAAAAAGGGCATCTCCAAAATGGGAAATCATGGTCCCAGAAGGACCATTTCGGAGGGGATGCTGGCAAATTAAGGGATGACTTGATTTTATTTATATCCCACCTTTCATTCAATATGGCTTCGGGTGTAGGTGAAAACAAGCTAAAACTGACAATACGTACTGTACAAAAAGTTTAAAAACAATTAAATACTATATCAATCCAATGTGAAGTGGTGTTTAAATGTAACGTTTGTTGCTGTGTGCCTTCCAGTCATTTCTGACTTACAGCATGCCTAAGGTGAACCTATTGTGGGGTTTTCTTGGCAGAATTTGTTCAGAGGAGGTTTCTCATTGCCTTCCTCGGAGGCTGAGAGAGTGTGAGTTGCCAAAGTTATCCAGTAGGTCTCTGTGGATGAGCGAAGATTTGAACCCTGGTCTCCCAGTGTCCTCAAACCACCACACCAATCCCCCCCCCCCCATATCTGGTTTGGGCCCGAATACTATGTCTTTTTAGATTCAAGACGTGTGGCTGCAAGGTGTGCTTTACTTTGAAAAGTGTCTTGTAGCGTAAATCTCCTTCCTCCGCTCACGGCCTCCATCCTTCCCCAGCTGTTTGAGTTCAGCATCGCAGACCAAGAATACACTCCCTGGAGCCGGAAGGTGCAGCAGGTGGGTTTGCACAGGGACTGGCTGGAGCGGGACACCCCCATCACCCACATCGCCTTCAACCCCAGGCAGGCCTCCCACATACTCCTCCATGACACCTACATGTTCTGCATCGTGGACAAGTCGCTGGTAAGTTAGCGGTGGACCCCTTTGCTATTTTTGTTTTCCTGGGCTTTTTATGGTTAATGGCTGTAACTCATTTTTAAAAAAAATTGATAGTTCAATTGCTTTTCAGTTTCTGTATTTTGTGATTTTTTAAAAAATGTGTTCTTCTCTTCCCATCTCTTCTTTCCAGCCACTGCCGAAGGACACCGCCATCTTGAACAACCAAGTCTTGCTGTCGCAGCTCTCCCGGGCCGCCCAACGCACTGCCAGCCATGCCTTCAAGATATGCAAGAAATACCAGGTTGGTCGACTGTGGGGCGTGTGCCAGGGCTACCCTCTGGGCCAGGAAAGGAAGTGGCCCCAGGAGAAAACTGACTGCAAATGGGTTTTTGCTCTCGTGGATTGCGTCCAGGGGGAGGTGCACAAATCTAGAGGATGAAGCCCCAAGTGCTGTGGAATGGGAATGGCAGCAAACCCAGAGCAGGGGTTTGAACACAGTAGGGCAGTTTGGTTTCATTTCCCCAGGGTTGGTTTATCCTTCCTTCCTTCCTTCCCAGGAGACCCTGATGTCTCCTGGGCTAGGAGGAAAAGTGGCATTAGTTGAACCTTCAGCTAGTCCAAGACTCTTGGGATGCACTGAGAAGAAGCATGCAAGGAGGGAGGTGCAATAATCCCCCCCCCCCCACACACACACACACTTTGGGGTCTGAGTGAGGGGTTCTTGCCCTACCATAAAAGGAGAGACTTGTCAGGTATAAGTAGACCGACTGAAGGAGATGGGTGTGGTGAGTGTTGCCTCCGTGCCGCTCTTGTGAGGGTTCCTCTGGCCTCCGATTGCCCTCAGGTTGAGGGAAGGAGGAAAAGAGGGTGCCAGAGCAAACAGCATCACTAAATTCCACACAGACCTTGGGGGAAAGTTCCTTTTAATCTTCTATCAGAGCTTGAGAAAAGTTCCCTCTCCTTTTTTAAGAGGGGGAAGACTCTGACTACCAGAATCCTCAGGCCAGCGGATTTTAGGTAGAAGGAAAAGGAGTTTTGCCAAGCTCTGACTGTGTGTGTGTGTGGGGTGGCAGGTCTGTCGCACCCCATTGCCACAAATGCAGGTGGTACATGGAGGCCCCTGTGTGCACCTGATAAAGGGAAAGCTTGCAGGGTCAGGGCCCATAAGACTTGCAGGCAGCCTGGGTTGTGAGTGTGAGTGCCTGTGGCGAGGTCAGCGGGGTGTGTTCCAGTTGAGCCCAGGGATTTCCAGCTGTCCCGGCCTTTTCTGCCTCCTCTAACTGCTTTCTTTTTTCCTTCCTTCTCTCCTCCTGCCCTGAATCCATCCATCCCTGCAGCCTCTGCTGTTTGTGGACTTGCTAGACGAAGTCTCCCTGGTGGTGGTGGAGCGCTCCATCAGCGACCTCAAGGCCCAGCTGCCTCCTCCGGTCTATCAGAAGAAATTTGGCACGTAGAGGGTCCCGTCCTGGCCCTGGCTGCTGCAGCTTTGTGTAAAAACCAGGATCCCTGCAGAACTGCCATTTCAGTAACTCCCTTTCCTGACCATTGAGGTAGAGCACCAGGTGGGTTCAAGGTTTCCTGCAGGTCAGAGCAGGTGGAGGAGCGGAAGGAGGAAAGACAGCCCTGCTTGTGGGCATTTGGCCAGCTGGAACAACCTTCCTTCCTCATGCCCTTGACTTTGGCTCCCTTTCTCTCTGGCCTTATCAGAGCTGGGCTGATTCTGACCTTGGGATCCAGGCTTGGAATGAATACTCCTTGGGCTACGTCAATGATTAACCTCTGAAATACAGGCAGCAGCCCAAGACTCATCGGAAATCTTATTATCTGGAAGGAAGAAGGAGCATGGCAAAGCCTGTAGGTGACTTTATACGGCTCCAGTCCTTTCATAATAAATCGTAAAAAATACCTTGCACCTGTCATGGTGCTCTCTGTCTTTGTTTCAAACAGTTGCTCTCTCTTGTCTTGTCCTGCACAACAGTCTTGCCAGGTGCATCTGTTTTTGCAGGTGGGGATGCAAAATGAGAGCAGTTTTCATAAATAAGGCCATCCTGGTAGAAGCGAGAACTGGACCAGGGACTTGCTGATTTGGGTAGTTCTGCCTCTTGGGCTCCATAATGCAAGGTGAGCAGGTTATTATAGAAAGTGTCTTACCTACTTCCCAGCTAATGCTGGATGCAAACTCTGGCAATGTCCTCCATTGTCCTTGACGCCTCCTAGGACTCAGCTCCGCTCACAGCAGTTTCCAAACAGGTTCTTTGTCAAGTGCTAGGCTGGACAAACGGGTTTCAGCCCCATCTGCCAGGAACGATGAAAGCGGGAGGGAGGGAAGACAGAGGGACTCTTGGGTTCAATTCTGCATTTTTCCAGAAATCAAGGTTGGTAGGGTTGGCCAGTCCAGGATTCCCCACAAGGCGAGAAAAAAGCTGCTGCATATATTTTTTTAAAATGCATTTTGAGAAGGGGTTGAGAAAGTGTAGCAAGAGGCTTCTGTGAGAGGCATTGCGGAGGAGAGCCTGGTGCTGTAATTGAAATTATTCAAATAATATGGTCTGAGGAAGTGGAATGACATCTCCCTTCCAGTTGTGAACTTCTTTCTTTCTTCCTCATGTTTTCCTTCCAGTTATCTTTTTGGCCACCTGGGGAATCTCTTGCTTGGAGCCTTTTGCTGTATTAGTTTTGGCACTGGCTTACCAAGAAACATTTCTGTGGCCAGTTTTGAATAAAACAAAAATAAAAGCCAAATGCACAGGATTGTTTGGTCCTTGCTGCAAGGGCATCACACACTTTAAAACAAAGTACTTTAAATAAATCTCTGTAATTGCAAAACTCTTTCAAACCAACAAGGGCTGGGAAAAGGCCTTGTTAAAAGATGAAGGAATGATAAGACTGGAACGGTTTCTGTTGCTAATTTGCTAATCTTTATTTTGCAACCGTATTTGGTTTTGTGAGCTGCCTTGGGTTGCAAATTGGAGGAAAGGTGGGCTATTAATTAAATGAAGGACTTCCCAGAGGACTCCAGGCTTGAGAAGAATGTATTTGCTAAACCTCCAGGCTAGACGGAAGGTTTGGCTCTTCCTGCAAGGGGCAGGCGGCCACTGAGCAGCAAATGGTCTTTTTCCCCTTCCTTAAGGAGATGTCCTCAGAAGGCCGGCCGATTACATATCCTCCTGGGATTAAAAATAGCCATTCTCCAACCAAGGATCAGCTGGACTTTGGGCCGCCGGAGGCAAGGGGACCGCCAGTCCAGTTAATGCCCAAACGCTCAGGGCGCCGGCGCTTGGGCCAAATCCATCCATCGCAACCGGCTGGAAATCCGCTCCTCGGAGCCCAGATTAATGGGTTTCTGCACTCCAAATCCTCTTTGGACGCACGGCCTCTGGTGGAAAGGAATTGCTGAAGGATATTCGACTTGACAAAAGGCAAGGAAAAGAAAAGGAGATGCTGCATGTTCAGCATTAAAGGCAACCTTTCAGATGTTGCTGGACTGCAAGCCCCATCATTCTTTGCCAATGGACGGGATTGTTGGAGTTGTCCATCAACATCTGGTTTTTCATTCATAGACACATAGGTTTCGGAATTATCCCATGTTGTGCTTTCCAGTATGGCTTTCAGCATTG